AGCCGAGCCGAGTATGTGAGTGTTCATTTTTGTGTTCATTTAATATCAGCTTGTTCAAGTTTGGTTCATGTTTGTTCGAGCTTTATTGTTTGTGTTCATGTTTGGTTCATTTAAATTAATGAGTGTTCATGTTCGGTTCATGTTCAGTTCATGTTCGTTTATTTAGTGCTTATCGAGCTTGTTCGCGAACATATTTAATGAATTTTTTTTAAGTAGCAAACAAACATGTTCATGAACATATCTATGAACAAACAAATTTATAATAAAAGCAATTGTCTATGTAACAAAGGTAATGATTATTTATATTTATTAATTATATAGTCAAATATTAATTGTTTTTATTGAGCTTATTTACGAGTTCAAAATCGAACACGAATCGAGCTTTTATCAAGCTTCTTATCGAGCTTGTTCACGAACTTCAAATGATGTTGTTCGCGAACATAAATGAGCCGAACGCATTAGTGTTTAAGTTTGTTTATTTAAGAATCGAGTATTTAAAATATTGTTCAACTTTGTTTGTTTAGTTAATTAAACGATCACAAACGAGCTTTAATCGAACCGAACAACAAGTACCTCGTCGAACATTTGGTTCGCTTGCAGCCCTAAATGTAAATATTATTACAACATAAAACGAAGGAATGAAATGACATGCATGACATTGTGTATATGTGTGAAAAATGATATTATATGATACATGTATGTATTAAGAAAGTATGCAAACGAAGAAATGATCTATGAAAATGAATCAAAATGTTCAAAATAAATGGAAAGAAAGGAAAAGGATATGCATGCAACTTGCAGGAGTTCACCCCCGTATTGTACTGGCTGGGGAAGTAATGCACCCATGCACGAAAAATGAAAAGGTCATGGAAAAGGAAAAGGAAATGGAAATGATTGTACCTTTGGTACATTTAGACGGTGCTTATGTACAAATTAAAAGGGAAAATGAATAAATATTAAAGCTTTATAATGTTTTAAAGGAATATGACCGGATATGTATAAATGATTGAAATGAATGAAATAAAGTTAAGAAAGCATAAGATGCATATTAAAGATTATATGTGTATTGTAAATAAAGAATATTCACGTTGATTGTTTTAAGAATTACTCACTGAGTTTACACTGCAAACTCAAACCACTAAATTAATATTTCAGGTAAATCCCCAAATAAGAAGAAATGATAGAAAGAGAAGAATTTGTCTATAGAAGACAACGTGCAAATGACAAAATGTAAAATAACTGATGAGAATGTTTTGTTCGATTTTAGATTGATTATAATTTTCTTTGTGATTAGTGGCTCTTCACTTGATGAAAAATTTATGTTAATGTGTTTTAATTTGGAATGGAATGAATTTATAATATTGTCCAACTTTTCGTTCCCGCCTCATTAGATCGAGCATCCGGGCCGGATCGTGCCATATATGGTCGATGTCGTACGACACCCATGCTCGAGCTCTTCATGTACCCTATATGAAGACTTGCATTTTTTTTTTGCCCTATGAAAAAATGTACATGTACTTACAAGCAGCACTAAAAAACGAGCATTTATGAGTTACACTTGTTGAGCCGAACACAACATTGGAATTTAGAAGATTTTTTAAGTTTACGAGTTTATACCTTTGGACTATGCGATGATAACAAAAATGTGAGGTGACAACGAGGAAATAGTGAAGCGATGAAATACACTTCATTTATTTCTTTTTGTTCTCCTTTTTATGTTTTTGTTCTTTTCATTTTTTTAATATATATTATAAATATATTTATATAAATATGCATAGAAAGAGAGAGAGAAAGAGGATAAGAAAAAGAGAGGGAGAAGAGAGATGTTTAGAAAGAGACAAGGAGAGTGTGGTAAGATATTCTCTATGTTTAGTGAGAGAAAGAAGTTAAGATAGAAGTGAGGGGAGATATAATAAACTCTATTTAGAGAGAGAGAGAGAGAGAAAAAGAGAGTTTTTTAGAGAGATAAAGATGAGGGAAGAGAGAGAGAGCTGCCCTTTGTTTAGGGAACAGGAGGGTTGGAGATAAAGGTGAAGGTGGAGGTTGGCAGTTAAACTGGCAGTGACTTGATCAGGTAAGCAGAGGAGAATTGGAAAGAATTAGTTGGCTATGGCTGAGAGGGAGCAAGTGACCGCTCGCATTGGATGTGGGAGCTGCAGGTGTTTGCCAGTCACTGAAGGTGGAAGGGTTCAAGGATGATTCAGGTGGCTGAGTTAGAAGAGGAGCAATAGAGGGAGAGGGGGAATGGTCTCTGGTAATTAGAGAGGGCAACATGTTTGGCTAGGGTTGGGTTATGATGCATACATGGAAAAAGAATGGAGAGGTCAACTATGTGCAAGGGGGAAAGGGCTAGAGGGTCTATGTACGTAAACATAGAGAGAAAGGGAGAGAGGTGGGTTGTTTGGAGCTGAAGATCGAAGAGGGAAAGGAGGGGCTACAGTGCTAAGGCTAAGGAAGACTGGTTGGATTTGTGGGCAAGAGGTAGCATTAAGAGATGCAAGAGGGGATCGTGTGCTAGGGATATAGATTATTTTTTTCTCTTTTTTTTTTACCAGTGTCGACGGGACAGGAATTCAACGCTAAAGCATTGGTCTCAAGAAATTTCAAAGATTTGGAACCAAATTTGAGGGCATGGGCAAGAATTAGCTAGGTTTTTTATAAGATTTCTTTTCTTTTTAATTCTTTTTTATTTAATCAATTAAAATAAAATAAACATGAATTTATTTCTTGCTCAATTTTTCTTTCCTCGTGCATCTCAATTTGCACATCGTCGCCTCGTGAGCAGGCATATGTTGCATATCAACTAGTGTGGGGATCTCGACAATCTGTGTTTCTTTTCCAAGTATTTTTGATGTTTAGGATATGTCGACGCAATCTTTTCCTGAAAAAGCGACGTTCGAGTAACTTCATGTAGCATCACATTTGTAGTCCTGTTGTTTTTTCAACTGGATTCACCCATGTCGAACATAGAATGCCTTTTCTTGGTAATTTTAACAATCAAAATGCAATGACGTAATCTGTTTTGCAAACGGGCAATGCTCACATGATTATGTATAAAGTCGCATCCACAGACCATCATCTTTGTCGTTGTTCGATCGAGTTGCGGGCGAATGGTTCTTCTTAGGTAAATTAGATGTTTGGGCATATCAACGGAATCCATTTTATGAACGGAAGATGTTTGAGTGGTTTCATTCAACATCACATTTGAGACATTTCAAATTCATCATGAGTGACGCAACATAAGTCGGTCGGTTATCCTTCTCATTATGCTTGCTTGAATTGATTGTAGAATATAGATGGAGATCAACAACACGCACACCATACACCACAAATTTGGAATGGATAAGAGCTAAAGTAGCTATACATTAACTTTTACTTTTTTTTATCTTTAAGCTACTTAATCTTAACCATCAAAATTTTGTGATGAAAGGTGAAATATAAGTAACAATAAATACTCATGTCCTTCTAACAACAACAACAACAACATCAAGCCTTTGTCCCACTACGTGGGGTCGGCTACATGAAACCTTTTTCTCCATTGTGCCCTATTAAAAGTCAAATTCTCGTTTAAATCTAATAAAGAAATATCATTTCTAATATTTTCTAACCAAATCTTTTTAGGTCTACCTCTACCTTTCTTAACATAAATCAAATCTAATACCTCTACTTTTCTAACCGGGTCATCGGGAGGCCTCCGTTTTATGTGAACAAACCATCTAAGGTGACTCTCTCTAATCTTATCTTCCACTAGAGCTACTCCAACCTTTTCACGTATATGCTCATTTCGTATCCTATCTCTAAGAGTAAAGCCATTCATCCACCTGAGCATCCTCATCTATGCAATACTTAACTTAGTATTATGCTTCTCTTTTAATGGCCAACATTTGGCACCATAAAGCATTGCAGGTCTCACCACCATCTTATAGAATACTTTTCTATCACACAACAAGCCCGATGCATTTCTCCACTTCAACCATCCAACTTGAATTCTACTGATAATATCCCAGTCTATTCCACCATCACTCTGAACAATAGATCCAAGATATCTAAAACGAGTACTCTTATTAATGACTTGATCGCCCAAAGTCACAAACCCCTCACTAGATCCATTACTACTAAAAGTCTAAAATTACACTCAATATATTTAGTTTTAGATCTACTCAAGTGAAAACCTTTAGACTCTAAAGGTTGACCGCCAAAATTCAAGTTTACCTTCAACTCCCTATCTAGTCTTATCAACAAGAAGTATATCATCAACAAAAAGCATACACCAAGGTACATCCTCTTGCAAATGTCTAGTGAGAACATCCATGACTAAAGCAAAAAAGATACGGGCTTAAGGCTGATCCTTGATGTAATCCAACCGAAATGGAAAAATACTTGGTCAAACCACCTTATGTTTGAACACAAGTAATAGCTCCTGCATACATATATTTAATGATTTGAATATAAGCATTAATAACTCCTTTCTTTTCAAGAACTCTCCATAGCACTTGTATTGAAACTTTATCATATGTTTCTCTAAATCAATAAATATCATATGTATATCCTCCTTATTCTCTCTATATTTGTCCAACTCATGTCCTTCTAAAAGAATGAAAAATTGATCCTATATATAGGAAGAGAGAGAGAGAGAGAGTAGCGAGACAGAAGGGTGTGAGAAGATAAAGTGGAAAGTATTTAAGTAAAATCAGGAACAAACCAATGGAAGAAGGAACCTTCATGGAGTTTTCATATTTCTCGAGACAAAATACCCTTTCTTCTTACTAAGTTAAGGCTTACAAAAGTTTATAATCCAAAGCAGGCAACAACCATAACAATTAGAATTTTCAATAACATTGATCGTGATGAGGAGCATGTTGGGACAGATTTGCCATCTGAGCATATGTTCTTACAAAAAACAAATTGCCAGAATTTAACCAGTAAATTGTGCCAAATAGACAAAACACATAAGGTATAAAACTTGTGAAATGATAACACTAAGGTCAAAATGTTATTGGCCAAATATTTGATTATCAGCAGTAGCTATAAAAACAAGAGAATCTGTAGGTGAAAGTTATGGTAATGACCTCTCCAACTATTGCAATAAAAATACCATTCGGAAGGTTCAATGTAATATTTCTTAACACAGGGCTCTGTTCCTCTGGATCATCAAAACTTGACCAAACAAAGCATGAATCTTGAAATATGACCATATTGGGATTACAATGAAGAGAATGCTGGCAACCAAAGTGGTGAATAGGATCAGTGAGAGATATCTGAGCGTCATAAGATTGTCCAAAGTCAAAAGAGTGCTCAGGACAGGACAAAAATTTACTCAATCGCCTGGAAGAAATTACAGCCTGAAATAAAAATCCTAAGAGATTAGGCTTGATAATAATTAATTCAAATTTTGATAAAGGAAAATAATAATGGGCAACTTACATCAATCAGTCCGTTAATCACCCATGGAAAGGAATTCAAGGGAGAGATTAACGTGTTGAAAAGTGCGACACATGTAAACACCTACATAGCAATATCACAAGTCAAATGTTGAAATACTCAGAGAGCATACAAAGATTAAGGATTCGTTTGGGACGGCCTTCTTACTGCTTCTTAAAGCAGCTTTCTAGTACAAGAATTAAATTTTTTTATAAAAAAATGCTTTAAGAAGCAATAAGAAAGCCGTCCCAAACGAAGCCTAAGATTCTTATCATGCATTCATCAAATAAAGCATAGCTGTATTATTCACCGTAGCAGCATCTAGAGATTGGCCCATCAAAGAGAAGACGCCAAATGTAGAAAGTGAAAAAAGCGTTGGCGTTGTTGCCCAGAAGAATACACACCATGCATCCAAATATTTCCGAGTCTAAGATGAAGAGCTCTTATGTCAGGATGTAATACATAAAATAAAATTAAAAAAAAAAACTGTATAAAACTTTCAATGTGGTTAAACAAAGGTTGTACATCAGCTTTTCTCTTGCTTAACTATTTAAGAAGTAATTTTAGTTTAGATAGGGAATGTGCTTAGACAATTTTCATTTCACATGTGAACCTTTTTTAGTGATTTCACGAGCAAATGGACAATACCTTATGAAGTAGCTTGTAATTCTATATGACAGTAAGATGACCTTATTTTACATAGCACAACAAAACCAGAACATCTGTAAAACTAGAGATAAACAAGCCTTAATTCTCTTACAGAGAGGTGTTGCACTTCCAGTAATCTTCTCTTCATCAACCGCTCGGTGAATATGCGCTCCCAGCTATACATTTTCAGAATCCGAATGGACATCAAAAGTTCACCAGCTCCTCTAATTCTGTTCGTAGACGAAGTCATAACATGAATATAAACATGTTTGTACTACTTTTTAGCATAACATGAAAAGATAATAGTATGGCTCACCGGCATAAAAATAATTCTATACTGAACCAACTCAATAGAGACAAGTCCTAGAATTTTGTCATGAAAATAGTAAGCAATAGGAGAGCTTGATAATAATTGTTTTGATCAAACAAACAATACAACAAATGAAGCAATCGCAGCGCAACAAATGCGTTACGACGCTTTCAGTAACAACCAGAATACATAATAAGGTCATATAAGTAATGACCCTAAAGTCATAAAGATAACTAATGATTAATTAAGTGTTATTAACAAAGCTATTTAGGCTTGATTAACAACCTAATCCAAATTGAGATCATTAATGTTACGGGCAATTTTAAATGCAATTGGGAGGCCTCATGCCTCTAAATTGATTTAAAAGCATTAACAAGTAATGAAGATTGATAGACAAATAGACAAAATTAATCATGTTCAAAAGGGCATTTGCTTAAACAACAAATAAATCCTAAATTATTGGGGAATTTCAAAAGTCAAATAGAATTGTATCGTGTGCTAGCATTTTGTTAAATGAGAGTTTTTATTTCCCCCTTAATATGAACACATAAATCAAAACCAAAAAAAATATTTATATATATATGAAATAGATAAAAAACAAACAAGAAAAATCGAGGAAGATTCGAGAGAGGCTCATAGGGGTGCTCAGGTTTTGAATCACTAGGACAAGCGATAGAGATAGAGAGAGAGAGAGAGATGAAACTAATGGATAGTAGATCATAACTAAATCCACCAATCAAACTTCATCTATCATAGACGTGTATGCCACAACTCTTAACTCTTATTAGTTGGGATGAGTACTTCATAGCCGCAAATGACTATGGTATGTGCCTCTAAACTATTCAGTGAAAATTAGAGCGCTCTACTAGTTAATGAGTTGACTTCAACCTCAACAGCACATCTTCCACGCATACATTCACCCTAATCTACTTGCGACATTTGAGATGAAGTAACACATAGTTGCTAATTGGGCTTTTTGGATGTTACAGCACAAAGCTCCTAGACAATGGCATCTTGGGTCCATTAGTAGATTCATAATAATAAAACCATAAAATTATGATCAAGTTTACCTTCATTCCCCACTTAATTAAATTAAAACCAAACTACCAAATCTATGCTTGAAGTGAGCTTAAGTAACATCCCTTCACAAGCCAGATGGGAAATTAACTATATGGGCAAGAACCAATAAGAAGTATCAACCCCAGATCTAACAATACCCTGATTTAAAATGAGAAAAAATCTAGTTTAAGAAAAATTTATCTAGCTCAAGGAAAATAATTCCTGAGTTGTCTTGCCCATTGAGGAATCTCAAGAGAAGAGATTATTTTTCTTAAGCAATCAACAATACATGTTAAGCCATCCCTAAACCTTGCATTGGAGTGAACTTCATTCTTGGGATACACCTCATAGGATAGGTAGCACAACCAAGTAGAGTAGATGAGAGTTAGAAGGGACAATAAGCATAATTAAACTGCTAGGGCAATTTCATCCATAAAAATAACAAGAAAAAAGATAGAGGAATTCTTCCACAGAAAAATCCTAAACATTTATTTGGTATCATTTGAACCATCACATGATTTCTATTAAAAGAAAATGCTATTTAGGGTCCATAAAAAAAGCAAAAACTAAGTTCAAATCCCCAAAGTGGGTTTTAAATATGAAAATGCCAAATTGTTTGTAACTACAAACATGACATTTCCCAAAATAAAACAATATACCACCTTCAACTTTTTTGAAGCTTGCTAGCATAAATAATTGTCAATTATTCCAAATAATAAGACTCTTAAATCAACCTTTTCTAATTATATGCTCCTCCAATGGTCAAGATGCCATCCATGAGGTAATCAACTCCTTTGATATTAAACAATTTTACATGAAAAATCAATTTTGTTGGAGATAAATAGAACAACCTCCATGTCAATAACACTGCGCATGGCTTGGAGTGGGCACCAGCCAACACCTGCCAATCATTATCTCCTCTCCTGCCTCTCTTCCTCTTTCTCTCTTAAAAGGGTGGAGTCAAAATTTTATTAATTATCATGGATAAGATTTGAACTTTATTTTTATAAACTAATGACTTCCATAAAATCTAAATTGCAGGCTTCCAAAAAAATAGAGGTTATCATAAAGTCCTAAATGGAGGCTACCACAAAAAGCTACAATCAAGGCTACAAAAGTCTTACATGGTAGTTAGTCATTAATGTTAGAATTGGAACTCTTCACTATATAAGCTCATTAATCTTCATTTGTAGAATAATACACATGAAGAAGTAACCAATAGAGGAGATAAAAAGAAAAAAAGCGAAGAGGGGTATTATCCAAGAAAGAAAGTATTCTGGGTGCTTGCAGGTGGAATCCTTTGACTTATTCAAGAAGAAGAAATCCAGCCCTTATCTTTGTAGTAGGTAACTGCATTTCTCTCAGCAAGATAATATGGTAGCTTAATACATATCTCTAATTTTGCGTGAAGTGTAATTTTACATCTATCTTTTTTTTTTAGTGGATTATTTGATCTCTCAATGGCTGTGGACATAGCCATACTTGAGCCAAATAATATAAAATTTGTTGTTCTCTTTTGTGGATTTGATCTCAATTTTGCAATTATTTTGTGGTTCATCATACTCCTCATATTTATAATATCGCACATGGTTAGGATGAGCACCAATCAACACTCTTCCCCATCACTAATCATGCTTCTCTCTAGCATCTCTCTTTCTCTCTCTCTCTAAAATGTTTAGATACTTGATTGAATATACCCAAGAAATCGATTAGGACAAAATGTTGTGTTAACAAAATGAATGATGCTTTGGAAAGGATTCACTAATAGGTTGAGATGGCCAATATAGTTATAAAGATTATACTTATTTTCTCTTTAGTTTTAAATTTTGAAAAACCTTCCTGCATTTCTTTCAAAGAAATTTTGAAAATCCTTAAGTGGCTATCACTACCCCTCTTGCATTCAAACATGAAAAGATCAAATCCTTCCAAAGATCATCCAAATGTTGGATCAACAAAAATAGCAAGCCGAAAACAATCATAAGAGAAGAACATAGTTAAACCTCTCATCCTTCTCTTTCAGCATTTTCTCAGTTGCACGTGCAATCATCGTTGAAATCCATTTGTTAACTGCAATGAAAGTGATCTAGTTATCACATAGACACCTTATCTTTATATTATTCAACTGTACTTCTAAAAGTACTAGAACCTTGGAAAATATGTCTTGGGAGAACATGTAGCGTGAAAACTCATTAGGTAAAACTAAGCATACAGAAAGAAGTAGAAATAAATGATGAATACTCTTTCATTGTTACCTGGTATGAGCAAGATAGTTATTGCAAGGCCAGAAACAAATGCATAACCGACTTGTGTATATAAAAGGTATAATGCCACACCTATCTGTAAAGGCAAACTGTGAGAAGAAGAAGAATTAGTTCCGTATATATACAAAACACATTAAAAGTTAAACACGCTGGACAAAGAAGCTATAAGTTCAATAGAAGGAACAGTAAAAACTAGACTACCAGCAAAAAAGTATGAATTATTCTCAGAATATGCCAATGCCCTTTCAATTTTTAAATTGTTTCTGATAGTTATTTTATTAATGTTACCCTTGCATATAAAAATATATTTAGTATGAAACTTAGGATATATAAATCGGGTTCAGATTTCAAGATGTTCAGCATACTCTAATAATAATTTATCTTACAACAAGAACTCATATTTGCTATAATGTTCATTTTAGCCTAATTAAACCTATATTATTTATCAAAGGGGGATCCTGAGTATGCAGACAAGGTTCTAACTTTGGAAATTCAACCTATATTCTGATTTCGTGGTTTAATAAAATAACAATGTAATTTCATATTTTATATTTAAGAGGTTTTAAGATAATCTTTGTGACTTACTTTTTTAGAGGTTTTATATAAAAACAGGAAACCATGATATTACCTAAAGAAAGTTAGGCAGAAGATGGACGCTTCATAAAAATGCACTTCACTGAGATCATAAAGAGATCAACATAAATATTTATATAGGGATTATCTTGAAAAAAATATCATTTCAATTCGATCTATCTTTCACGTAGCAACTGGTTTGGACATTCTTACATATAACTCATTTCACATAATTATTATTCTTAAGTGGCCATACATGTAATATATATCCAGGTTTGTTGATGAAAAACTATTATGAGATGATAACCTAAAGAATATATTGGTGTTAGTGGGGATGATGATAAAAATATCGCATGTATTGGGTCCTTTAGTGGTACATCAATGTGATTACATTTTTTCACATTTTCAAGATTATATATATTTTTTTAATTTTAACATTTTGTGTTGCTAAAATCATGCATAATGATTAATGTTAATGTTGGTCTATTGTTAACAATTAGGCATGCTTGATAAAATAGAGTACACTTGATAAAACATTGAAATATGTTTATAATTAAACCAACTTCTTTTTAATTGATCATTAAGCTTTTTATGTGATGCATATAATCTTATATTTAACATGTAAATCCTTTTAATAAGAAATATAATTATTATATTTAACTACGGATTTTAAAATAATAATTTTTAAGAAAAATGTGATTTCCATGGCATGGTGTGTACTACTTTTATGGATAAATCATGATACCGTGTTCGTGTATTGTCACTTTCATGCGTCCACCTTTTAAATCATTGTACGACTGATGTGAAACATACATGCACGAAAATAAGAACTGCTTAGGCATGTTAATATTTGATTAATAAAGCTTTACTAGTTATAGACTTCTTGTTCTCCCAAATAAGGCTTTTAGAATTATCAAGTAGAAATTATGTAAGTCATGCGATTACAACTAGATTAACAGGATGCTTACAATTTAACAACATAAAATGTTACGGCAAGGGAACACTAATCCACGGTTTAACAAATAGATTTGCTCACCTTGGGTCCCTCAGTCACACTCTTGGGGGAGGTACTTTAGTGGAGGAAGATTGAGAACAAGCTTAGCGATGCCACTAGAAGACAAATGACGCCCAAGATGTAGTTTGTTGGAGAGGTGGCCAGCAGCGGGGAATCCACGAGTTGACTAGTGAGTATCCAACACTCGGTAGAAATGTGATCCTTGATGGAAGGTACCAGTGTAAAAGGATGCGATTTAAATAATCTTCCACGGAAGCGTCCACGTCTAGGTTCCCATCTAAGAAAGGAGATTCGAGAATGTTTGTTCGTCCTTGATCATCATATAAGAAGCCATGGTGGACTTCCGGATCGGCCATGCATTGTGGTGGTGGCAGTTGGAGAAGAACAATCTTGAGATTTGTGAGGAGGAAGGGAGAGGATGGTGGGAGATGGCTTGGGGAGGGTGAGGGGCGGCTAGGGTTAGGGTTTCTTTTGGGTTAAGCCAAGTGGTTTGGGAGGAAAAGGTGAGAGGGAAAATCTGAATTCTGAATTTCATATTTTCATTAGAGAGGGAGAGCCAAAATGAAATTCAAATCAACCCAATTAAGGGGTTAATGAGCCGGCGACTATTAGGGAACTTAGGAAGGGATTAATTGTTGCTTAGGGGGCAAAGTGGAGAGAGAGAGAGGGAAGAGAGAGGGAGGGCCAGCCCTATGGGGTTTTAAATTTGTGTCTAAGTTCAATGCCAGTGGGGCCCAGGTGATTGAATATGTCATTAAATCAAATTTCTGAATTAAATTCAGATTTGATTAGATATGAATGGCTTCCTAATTGGGTTTTATCATTTAGAAAGGTATTTAAAATTCAAATTTCAAATTGAATTCAATTAGGAAACTTCCTAAATGACAAAGGGACAATTTAGGAAAGCAATGAAAGCCTACTTGAATTTGAAAATCAAATACCAAGGCTTGGCCTTGAGTTGGCCGGCGGGTGGGGAGTCAATGGGGCCATCGGCTTAGGTGTTGGCTCCGGTGGAAGGGGGTGGGGGGGATTTGGGCCGGAAGGGTGAGGGAGGCTGGAATTCAGCGGCTAAGGGAAGAGGGAGGCGTGGGATTGTTGTCCGGTGGTAAGGAGGTGGGTGTGGGGGTGACGGCAGCTAGGAGAAAAAGGAAGAAAGAAAGAAAAATAAAAAGAACCAAGAGCTCCCACGAAGGGGGTTGTTGGGTATTTCTTTTGAGCCTCTCCTAGGCTACTCCTCTCCTCTAGAACTCACAAAGATAACATGAGTAAAAATTGAAATTTTCATATCAATAATCATCATCATTACAATGCAAGAGGCCTCCTATAAATAGGCCCAAATGAAAGAAAACCGAAAAGACTAAAGTGCCCTCGGGCTACAACATAGACTCAACTTCTCATAGGGGTAAAATGAGAAAACTCAAATGCAACACAAAACATAAAATAGAAAATACATCAAAAATACAGACTCTGAATCGTAGCCGTCGATCCACGACTACGTTGATGATACACATGTCGAAATCCCTGACTGATGTCCTCATCAACGACTCATTAGATGATAGAGAAAAATAGTGTTGATGTAGGAAGGAAATAGAGTAGATCAAAGTCATCCAATGTTAGCATGGATAGAGCAAGTAGGAAGGAAAAAGAGTAGATCAAAGTCATCCAATGTTAGCATGGATAGAGCAAAGAGTAGGTTTAAAAAATATTACAAAAATAACTAGAAATGGAAAAAAAAGGGGGAGAGAGAGAGAGAGAGTCTCATAAAGCCAACTACATACAATTGGTATAATGGCAATGATGAAGGTAGCACCTATAATGAAGGAAAATGACTCCTATATACTTTTTGAAGGGTTGAGCCTTCATTCAAGCATTTTCTAAAACCATGTGATTTGATGAACCAATGAATGCAAACCCCATAATTGATGATCCAAAGGGTAATTTATTTAGATCGTTTTTATACCAAGAAACCAAGGAAATGCACATAAAAATGATGGCTAAAATGTATCACGCTAAGAAAATTCAGAATGAAGGGATAGAAAGTAGTACCTCCATGTATCATGAATGCTGTTGCAGATGTTAACAGTCTGGCCTGCATCTATTGACATGAAAGTTTGAATTTCTCCCTCAGAAAACTTGGAGCGTTCAGCAAGGCTTACATGTAAGCACTGCAGAGGTAATTAAATTAGCCTATAGAGACAGAAATGCACAAACTTATTCTTCAAAAAAGAAAAATATGTACATAATAAATTCCATGTAGAGCATATTTCTTCCAAATATATGTGTTAATCACATTTAGCATACGCTCACCATAACATATTGTTAGCGTTCATGATACTAGAAAAAGTTCTGGAAAATGAGAACTAATGGGTTTCAAGTTTGGCCATTAGAAGGTGCGTGGGATTAGGGAAACGATGATGACAGGGCAACTTCAAACTTAACCTCTACATATATGCTTAGAAAGAAAAAATAGGCCAGAAATAAAGGATGAAGCAGGAGGAACAATAAAAAAAAAACATTCACATAAAACTCTGAAGATATATAGAACTAGAAGGCTGCAGAATAGGAGCTCGTGTCAAACTTAGATACAGACAAGTAGACTATCTTAAATACATTTTCATAGAGATATAAACATAAAAGCAAAAATAAGTTTGACAAAAAGGCCAGAATAAAATCAGCGCCGCCTATTTATACCAAAACTTGCCTTCCCCACTCCATATTTAGCTCAAGAAGGGCCCCAATTTCCTCTATGGGTGTGGTAGAAAGAAACAGAATGGATATTAGACGGGATACATAAGAGCATGTAGAGAGGTTCAGCTGAAGGATATATCCCATAGACAAAGACGTGTTGATGAACACATTTTCTTGAAATCAGGCATGGTAGGAAAATACACATTGAGATTGACATTAAAGGTATTGGTTTACAAATACCTAAAAGTGTACAAGGAAAGATAAAACTTAAAGGATGCACATCTAGACTATGATCAAAAAATGAGTATGTATGTATGAATGCTAGCATATACCCATGCATGTATGCGAGTGTGTGCCAACATGCAAGTATACAAGCCATTATGTATGTAGTTAAGTACATTGTATGCATGAAATATCGTGTATAATGACTAGATGTATGTTGGAGCATATGTATGTATGTATGTATCCATGCATTCATGCAAGGATATGCATATTTAAATATGCAAGGACTAATGCACGTGCTTTTTAGGAGTGCATTTATGATGTGTAAGAATGTAAGTAATGTAGATATGTATGCACAGTTGCACATATATATGCATTCCAGGAGGGAGTATGAGTGTGTCATTTTACATTTGATTGTAAATCAGCCACCTAATGTTTTATTAATCAGCCACATAACTTAGTAGTAGGAAGTGTCAACTAGCAGCAATGATGCGTTATAAGCAATATAGGACATAAATTCACCTTGTGGTAAATCATTGTCATTATGCTCGATCTTAGCTCTAATCGCAGCTTAGAAAGACGAAAAGTATATTGTGTATCCATAAATGACCTGAAAAAAGAAATATTTGAATGATGTCAGTACTCACTTTCACCTAGTAAGAAATTTCCCAATCTTAATGCTTTTATTTCTGTCATCATATCATGTGTCAAAGTTTTCATCATACAAATTGTTCATTTAAGATTGGCTATACATAAATAACCAATCTACTACATAGTGGCTATTATTTTTAGTGTACTACTTACACTTCTCAACATGTGATTAATTATTTGGCACAATTAGAAGAAAAGCCTTCACCAAAAACTTCACCATACATTAGAACAGACTTACACATAAGCAGTCTGAGCAGAGACATAAAAATCAAAAAAAATATTTAAATCAGTTAAACTTAGTTTAAAAGCATGCTAATGAAGCCACTATGTAACTACATCAACATTTGATTGCACAATACATTAGTCAAGCACAATACAACTTGTAGAATCATCTTATCTCCTTACCAGTACAAACTAGCTCGATAGAAAAAAAACGTGAAATCATTTGTGGGCTCTAAAAATTTCCACCAATCTCTTCTAAAAGAGTTTTGATTTCAGGTTAAATTTTCAGAAGTTAAATTTGATTGCAAATAAGATACTATCTAGATATTTCATCCTCATTTTATAAGATGCTATTAAAGAATTTGTGGTATTTGATTGTGATTGAAATTTAATGACACCATGTTGTGACGAAACACTTAATCAGAGGGCCCTGATTGTCCCTATACCTTCATGGTATCATTTGATGGCAAAATCACTCGATCAAAGAACAAATGTCACATCCTTGCTAGCACTAGATATTTAAGAGCAACTATAAAGGTATGTTTGATATGACACTGATTTTTTATGAACTGAGGTTATCTTAAATTTATTAAGCTCAGCATATTGTTGCATAGGATGAATGGATTATTGCTTTAAGCTTGAGACAGTTAATTTTACTTCAATATTTTTAGATTTTATAAATTTTTAGATTTTCATTTTTTTAGCTAGCAAAAAGCCCAAAATAATTTACTTTTAAAACTTACAAGTATTTTGATAACAGGATCCCCTTCAGTTAAGATTTTCTACCAATATGTCTTTGCAATAAAGAGTTTGATATTCTTTTGAAAAATAATCCCTCCAGTTATGATGTGCAATAAGTGTGCCCATCATAGTAGTAGGATACTTAAAACATATGCATTATTTTTATTTGAGAATAGACCCCTCTGATTATGATGTGTAATAAGTATGCTCATTATAGAGGGGTTTGAATGCTTAAACTTAATTGTTTGAAACCTTGTTAACTTTGTCCACTTGCTTGTAGAGGATTGGGTTCATAATTTATGTGACACTTGTGTTCATTTTAGACATTCATTCTATTAATGACCATGTCGACTCTACCCCATATGTAGAGGATTGGGTCTGTGAAGTAAACTCATGATTGTTCTTTATAGGCATGGAACTAAGAACTTGCATTTTAAAAATGAACTTCATTTGTTAAAGTCTTTTGAAAACCATATGTAAACGTAAAATAAAATAACTAAGCACAATCCATAATTAAGTGTTCATTTATAAATTTACTTAATTGCAATAGGAGTAGGATTTTAAAATCATTCTTTGATCACAATTTCTTTTTGAACTTGTTGCACTTTCTTCCTTTTTTTTTACCCTAGTTTTTTAAAATGTGGACGACTAGAATTGAAATATGAGACTTATAACCTTGACTTATAGGCAAGATGACCCATTTGAGTACATTTCGAACAATTCAAATAAGCTAACTGATATGAATGTCTAAAATGCAATCACATATATTGATTTATATGTACTACGCTAAGACAGATGACATCTAAGGGTTGACTGGTGAGCCAAATCTTTTAAAGCTAAGGTAGGTGATCTCATTTTAAATTGAAGTAATGTTCACCTTCTCTTAACCTAATGCATTTAATTAATATGTTTAAAATCATTGCTCTCTTACATGTATGAGATGATCTTATTGCTATAAGATTGTTACAATGAATGGTTTTACAATGATTTATTTCTTCTTAATGCAAACCATCGCTCTTATTGCTATGAATGAAGTGTAGGTTTTCATGTGATGTTTCAAATGTTTATGCGGCCGTTACACTCTACACTATATTATACTAATTCCTTCACAAATAAACTTAATATATTCTTGAGGGAATGCAAAAGAAATAATGTATAAAAATGATTATGAGTGCATGTTGAAATAGTACAGCACCCTCTTACGGTATTAATCGGAGACACTAATGTAGCCGTGCGCTGATAACTTCAAATTTTTTGCCACAAATAATAGTACATGTATGAACTTCGCCCCATCAAGCCAATTCGAACGCGCGCGTGTGTGTGTGGGTGGGGGGGGTTGATGGCCCTCCGCCATAGACAATTATGAGCATATGAGATGTGCCTCAATGTTCTAATAGAAGATGTGTCGACCGATGGAGAGTTAGTGTAATTTCTAAACATCACTCTTGTGACAAATATATTAAATATTGTTATTAAGAGACAAGTTATGGTATGACATACTTGATGCAAGCACACTAGATTAGAAAAGCCAAACAAGGCAAAGAATGGGCAAAACTATAACCAAACTCGATTCAAATAGTATCAATCATCTATTAGCACAAAACCGACGGACAAAAACTAGAAGAGAAGTCAAGAGAAACAAAATAAAAATAAAAATAAAAAATCGCTATCCTCAGAACAACGGACAGAACGATTTCCTCACATGCATTGAAATGTAGGTTAAGTAAAATATGTGCTCCCAAATCAGCAAACCGATGGTCCACCACAGCAAGACAGTCCAAACGTCCAATCCAAACTCCTCCAGCAAATGCTCCCAAATCAGCCAACAAACATCACCTTAGCTCAAGAAGAAGGATACAAATGGAGTGGAACTTGTGTAGAGAAGAAAGAGGTAAGAAGCCCAGACGAAATAGAGGAGAAGAAGTGGACAAAGCTCTCAAGCTTTTCCAAGAAGAAGAAAACCCTAAGGTTTTTAAAGAGACAAAGCTCAACAATTTTCAACAACCTTTCCCTTTAAAATACATCTCAAATATATAGGCATGAGAGGGGAGCTAAACAGCCATAGCACCACCAAATAGGCCAATAGGATAAAGGGAAATGAAAGGCCAACAGTCAAATAATTCCCAAACATTTCAGCAAAACAGAGAAGGAATCCACGGTAAACCAAGCAGGAAAAACCGCAGAACCGAACAGCTGTCACGACCCGGCCCGGTGAGCTCGCGTAGGCGAGGCGGGATCAGAGGTCGGACGGTAGGTTAAATTATCTTATTCCTAAATCTATCTCCATAATAATTTGAAAGAGCCTCTAAACATCAAATTTTGAAAACACATAAACGTAAAACTCAATAAATTCATAATTACCTTTCTTCTTGAGCTCCTCTCCTACGGTATACATTACCGCCTCTCCTACTCACTTGATTAATTTAAGCTTACCTAAAAATGTTAACAACTAACATTAAGCTAAAGCACAGTAAGTAATACACAATTCTAAACTACAATAAACAAGACAACTGAACAATATGTTAAATGTCAATTTTACATGAACATAACATAAAGATGATTTCATACAAATATAATATTAAACATATCAGATGATTTCAGACAAACATAACATTAAACATATCATAACATGAAGCCATATTTTTCATTTCATTTCATTTCCATATTCATATCATTATACTTACCTTTCTCTTTTCGTATATAATACAACCGTCACGGGAGTCACCGTCTAGTACCATAAAGGTACTCCTTTACTATTTTCATTTTTCATATCTTTTACCATTTTATCGTGCACGAGTACAGCGTCCCCAGCTAGTACCATAAGGGGGTGAACTCCATCTAATCAGCATGCACATTCAATCATTCAATATAACATTCATATCATATCATTTCTTTTCATTTCATAAATTACATAATCTCTATCATATAATGTCATAAAATATAGCATAAACTTTGCATGATCAAATATTTGAATAGAGTAGTAAAATCATGATCTAAAATTAATCATAAAGATTGCATGAACATGTTGGGACTTTCAAAACAAAGAACTGGAGACAAACAAAAGTATTGCCGTAATAAAGAATCATGTATACTTACCTGAAAATTAGAAAATTGATTTCTCCCCGCTAATCCTTCTTCCTTCGAGATTTCTTCAAAACACCTAAAAGATATAATTTCTTCTTCAAAATCATTTATAATAAATCTAAATTAATGTTCTCATTCTATTCAAAATCTACCCTAAGTTCTTCCTCTCCCTCTCTCCAAAAGATCACATAAAGCATATCGTAATCTAAAAATTCATAATTTTGTCTAATTACTTAATATTAATCAGCATAACACTTTCTCCATAATCTAAATGAATTTAAAATAATTCTATTTTCGGATTTACCTAAAACCCTAATTTTAGAAAACCTATTTCATTATTTCCCTCAAATAAACATGTCAAACTCTCCCCTACGCCTAAATCATAATTAAATATTTTCCATTTTCGGATTTAAACTAATTAAAAATTAGGAAAATAAGATTTTATAAGGAAAACTCAATTTCTTTTCTTAAAAACTCTCTTAAGACCCTTAGGAATAACATTTGCAAAGGCACTTCCAAAAACTCCAACTTTAGAGAAAACCCTAATTTTACCAAATCTCAAAATGTTTAAAAATAAAATCTCATTTCCACGCATAAAAGCATCTCTTAAACCTATTTTATCATTCTCTTAAAGAAAATCCAAGTTTCCCCACAAACCCTAAATTTTCCTTAAAGAAAAATTCTATAAAATCATGAGAAATCTATTGAAAACAACTCACATTAACTTTCCCTTAATCTTCCCTACAAGTTTCTCCACGAACGGCCGCCGGAAATTCACCGCCGGAGCCACCCGTCGCCTCCCTTGCGATCGCCTCTTCTCTCGGTTCCGCTTCCTTCGGTTTGTCCGACCAAATGAGTCGAAGGAATGAAAAGGGAGGTTCAGTTCTTTCATAACTTAAGGAAATAGGGATT